GGGGCTTAGCAAGTGTAGGTGGAAAGGAATCAAAGCTATCCCGCGACTGCATGATCGTTTTGATCCCTTTCCCCCTTATACAGCAATGAGATTGCTTTGAGCCTTTCCCCCTCCTTTTGCTAAGCCCCATGGGAGTTAGTAAGCAGAGGGGAAAGCAAGGATCAAAGCCATCCTGCAGCACTTTGATCCCTGCTTTCCTTTTGCTAAGGCTTAGCAAGTGGAGGGGAAAACAGGAATCAAAGCCCTGCAGGATCACTTTGATCCCTGCTTTCCCCTCCACTTGTTTTTTTCTCCTCAGCTTACTTCCGTGTATAAGACGACCCTCAATTTTTAGTCTAAAGATTTTAGACAAAAGTATAGTCTTATATGTGGAAAAATTAAATAACCAAGCTCTGTGCCTGTCCTCATATTTCCATATGCATGAGAGAACAGTGAAAGATTGTCTGTGCACTTTTGATTAAATTACAGTTTCCCTTTAGAACTAAATTTATGGAACCATGCTTTGTTCTAATTCTGGTATGTTAGTTAATTACCTATCCCTCCCCTCCCTCCCCTATTCAAACAAGCAGAATATAATCCCTTGCAATACGAGGAACCTCTGGGCTGCATTAAATCACAGTTAGACACTGTAATCTATGTTTTCCAGTCAACAGTGGGTTATGGACACAATACAAGGTGTTTCAGCCCGTAGGTATTTCATCTGGTCTCTAGGTTGAGATCCACAGCTTCATTATTTACTCATTACTTTGTTCTGGGGCTGTTTGGCTGAAGTGCTTTTAAAATATTACAGGCTTTAAAAAACAGAACAAAACCTTGGCACGCCAGCTGTCTTAACACTCAATTGCTGATGGCTTTGAGGGAGAACATGCTTTATTTCAATCAAACAAAGGACTTTCTCAAGCAAGAAATGAGAATGTCCTAGGTTTTGATTTAACCACAACTACAAAGAGATCTTGTAAATCCCTCTGGCCTCTGTGAGCTATGCGGAGACATCTTGAAGGCCTCTCTGAAGATGGGATAGTAAATTGTCAAATTCAATCTGCCCTGCCTTCTCGTTTGTTTGCTTTCCTTGCTTTCTTGGCAAAAGAGATAACAAAAAGAGACCGATTTTAATTATCCTATGCTGTTTGATTTCTGCAATTCCTCTTCTTGGAAAATTTCAGTGCCTATTGATTCTGTCCACAGTCTCAGGTGATGAAGAGACAGGAGAATCTCATACTTTTGGCAGTGTTCAAAAACACAGGTGAAACACAGGGATTTGGTGGCACCTTTTAAATGTTTAATAGCTCAGTGAGTTTCAGCCAGTGGTGCATATGAGGCACAGAAGTAGTCATTTGGGGTTGATGTAAGGCTTTTGTATCACTCTCCAAGAATGCAGTCTCTATCCCTCTGTCCTTTAAATGTTGTGCATTCTTCCTTTAACTGTGGGAAAAAAACCCATTCAGACCATCGTTTTGTAGTCAGCTGGGGTTGATGTAAGGCTTTTGTATCACTCTCTAAGAATGCGGTCTCTATCCCCCTGTCCTTTAAATGTTGTGCATTCTTCCTTTAACTGTGGTGCACTCTCTTCCATTAACCTACCTGCCATGGATTATCTGATGTTAACTTTCTGGCATGGTCATGTTAACTATCAAGCACACAGGCCAAAGGCCTGTTGCTTTTTACCACATACAGAATGTTGCAGAAGCCAATTGATGAGCTACTTATTGAATGTTGTTCACATGCCCAGTTGTTCAACCAACACACAGCTGGCACATCATACATAGCTGTGCTGACTTCCATAATTTCCCTTCTGCCCATGATGAAAAGTGTTAGGATTCTGGTCTCAGTATTTCTCCTAATCCCTGTTTCCCTTGCCCATCACTTTATCATAAAATGTTGCAGAAGCCAATTGATGAGCTACTTATTGAATGTTGTTCACATGCCCAGTTGTTCAACCAACACACAGCTGGCACATCATACATAGCTGTGCTGACTTCCATAATTTCCCTTCTGCCCATGATGAAAAGTGTTAGGATTCTGGTCTTAGTATTTCTCCTAATCCCTGTTTCCCTTGCCCATCACCTTATCATAAAAGCAATTCTTCAGCAGTCACCCTTCTTTATGGTCCTGCTCTCACTTCCATACATCGCTAGTGGAAAAACCATAGCTTTAACTATGCAGACCTTTGTCAGCAAGGTGAGGTATCTGTTTTTAAAGATGCTGTCTAGGTTTGTCATTGCTTTCCTCCCAAGAAGCAGGCGTCCTTTTAATTTCGTGGCTGCTGTCACCATCTGCAGTGATCGTGGAGCCCAAGAAAGTGAAATCTGTCACTGCCTCCATATCTTCCCCTTCTATTTGCCGGGAGGTGATGGGACCAATGGCCATGATCTTAGTCGTCTGGATGTTGAGCTTCAGACCGTTTTTTTGCACTCTCCTTCCTCATTAAGAGGTTTGTAAAATAGGGAAGTAAAATAGGAACCTTTGAGAACTGCTGTGATGGCCGAAACTACTTTTTCTGATTTAAGTGTGACAGCATGTTTGCTTTGTAGGATGTTTGTGGCCTTCCTCTGAGCCACAACTTAGCCATTTCTCAGTATTGCTGATAGTCATTTCTCCTTTTTAAAAAGACTGATATAAAATTAAACAAGTTAATGTTGTCTTACCAAACTTACAACATAAGAGCCAACATTCTGTTTATGTATGAGTCACTGGATATGCCTTCTGTGAAAGTGATTATGTTTGTGGCGTTTTCATATCTGGAGGGGCTGAATGATTCAGTCACATTTGATGTAGAAACACAGTAGAATTACCTGTGCCTCACAGATTGGCTGGGAAACAAAAAGGGGTGGGCAGATTAGTGAATTGTGTAGAGATGCAACAAATAGCTGTTTGTGTGGGCAGACACTTTGTGGTGGATGGCACAGGGATCTTAATTCATCAGCAGTTATATATTTATCCTGCCTGTCCCTCCAAAGCACTATGGACAGCATACATAGACACTGAAACCCTTTTATCTTCACAGCATGCCTGTAGCTCTCTCTCTTCTTACTGTATTCCAACACTTTGGGTGCAGTTGCATTGGAAAGCCGAATTGGAGTGATTCAGTGTTGCTGCAATTTGATTTGCATGAAACCGCAGTCAGTGCTAACACAGGGACTTCAGATTGATTAGGGAGTTCATCATTCATACTGAATGCAGTGCAAATCACATTCCAGCCCACACACACACCCTTTTTCTTTCCTTCCTCTGGTCCCACCTCTGCCAATCCTTCTTTCCTTCCTCTGGTCCCACCTCTGCTGATACTTTTATGGAGCATAAATATGGGAAGTAATAATAATGACTCAGCAATAAGATGTTATGGTAATCTAGCGCTATTTTCTTATGTGTAGGGTTTTTTTTAAATTCAGAGGATGATTGGGGATGAGAAAATAATGCAGGGGGGAGGACTTGTTTCCCCAGTCTTGAAATGCATGCCCTATCTGCTTCCATCACTGAAACACCACCACTCAAACAGATATGCCCCCTATCTTTACAAGAATGTATCATAACTAACCACATAGGGGAAAGCCCATTCTAATCATTCTAGCTTGAAAAAGTAGATGCCCTCCAGCAACGGAGGGGTGGGGGGAAGCCACATTGGGAGCAAAAAGGTCTGGACTGATTTGAATCAGCCTTTGCATCATGTGGGCAGTAAAAATATTTTTAATTCACCCATTTTATAAGCAGAGCAAATCCCACAATATTTGATTACATAGTCACAGCCTTAGTTTGTGAATTACTACAACAGTTAATTATTCAGGTATTCAGTGCGGGGGGAGGCAAACTGAAAAAGCTTTCCCTTTCTAGTATTTCAGTTTTTCTGATGCAGCCTAAGGGAGATTGAGGGGGAAGTATGATTTGTTTTATGAGGCTGCAAGAAGCTGCACCTGTCAAAATTCCAATATAGGTTCTTGAGAGGGGGGTTACTACCAATCAGTCAGTTAATTTTACTGTGTGGATACAGTGTACAGAAACAAAACTCTACAGAGTTAAAGAGAGACTGCCAGAAATGGTTAATCTCCATGACCTGAGTTAACGCAGTGGCGTCCCACCATACTACCCATAAAATTAAAATAACTTCTTTTGAGTTTTATTGCATTATATAAATTTCCAGCTTTGGAGGGTATTTTGTTGCGCTATTATGGCCAAAATCCTCTTGATCCAAAAGTTACACAAAAGGAGTAACTTTTGAATCACTGTAGACATTATCAGTTGCATGCTGAGTCGTACAACTCAGTGCACAACGAATAGTTGTTGTTGTTGTTTAGTCATTAAGTCGTGTCCGACTCTTCGTGACCCCATGGACCAGAGCATGCCAGGCCCTCCTATCTTGCACTGCCTCCCGGAGTTGGGTCAAATTCATGTTGGTCGCTTTGATGATACTGTCCAGCCAGCATTTGAAGGCCCAGGAGCCCATGTATAAGACACCGACACACACACTTTTCTGATGCAAAATTAAGAAATTTAAGTAGGGCTGGGGGGGGGGAGAAGATGTTTCTGCCCCCAGTGTTATTATAATATCAATTCTTAAGAACCCATCCACTCTCTGTGTTCAGTGAAGGGCAACCAGGAGATGCATCATCATCAATAATCCCATCCTTGAAGGGACATACAAGGCCCAGTTTGACCACTTCTGCCTTAAAACGTAAGGATCGAAGATAAATCTTTTTTTAAAAAATTGGACAGAAAGAGTTCTCTCTATGATACAGTATTCTGTTTGCACAACGTCCATTCGATGGTGAGCGAGTTTCTCAGCGGGCTGGACTCAAAAGTGCCTGCAACCTTGAAGAGCAGCAGAGTTGGAATGTAATAAATGTCGAGGAGCAGAAGCCCTGGTGTGTGTATATTCTGGACAGTGCCCACATTGTTTGGCACAGTATAAATGCTAAATCGTAACCACAGTCTTTTCTTTCCACCTGTCGGAGTACCTGAGTGAGTGGCCGCCTCTGCTGATTTTGCCCCTTTTGTTTTCTCCCCAGACGAAGTGACCCGGCGGGCCGCCCGCACTCCTGGCACTCCGCCAAGTTCATCGAGAACCAGCCCGATCTCAGTATGATGCAAATATCTCAGGGCATGATTGGCAGTCCCTGGCATCCCGCCTACCATTCCAGGTAAGCCTGATAATAGCACCTTGGCCCCCGTAAGCTTGCCTCCAAGAAATAGTGCATCGTGTGCTTCTCATAACCAGGAAGAGAACATTTTCTTCCCTGTTGTAAAAGGAGTCCTTTCTCTCCTTCTCATGCTCTGAGCAATAATCTGCTTGCATTCATACACCACTTTTTTTTAAGCTCCCGTGTTTTAACTGCCTGATGCCAGCTTACATGAACAGATTACGTGAACTGTTGACCTCAACTGTTCTGCAAAATATAGGAGGCCTATCAGGCATTGAGCTTAGCCTAAAATCCTTGGGTGGGTTGCAGGATCTTGTAGGCCTTGGTTGGGTTCCAGATTTGTTTGGCCACTTCGTACAGGGGCAAGGGTTACAGAGAAAAATTTAGACTGAGAAAATGAGAAGAGCCTGCAAATTTAAATTTGATGGATGTGCTTCCTTTGCAACGTTTATTTTGTCACTGCTAGTCCTTGCAAATTTGCTTTTGTTTACAAAATGCTAAGAGAATTTAAGGTTTTTCTTTGGACATTAGAAGATAAAAACATATGTCAGAACCAATTGTGTGCAACTGCCTGTCTGGTCACAGTTTGATGGTCCAAATCCTGTTGTATCTGTTGTGCAATGGGAATGTTGACACTGGCAAATTGGCACTGATGAAAGCCTCAATTTTTGTGATTTGGAAGTCCAGGCAACTTAGTGTGCACAAGCCATTATTACATCCTGAAATCACAAAACGAAGGCTTTCATCAGTGGCAGTTTGCTGCTGATTTCAACATGCCCGTTGCACAAGTGGAAGTGTGCAATAGGATTTCAATAGATGCCTGTGTGGTGACAATAGATGTCCAAGAAATGGAAAATAACACATCTGGAAAATGTTGATTGTATCCCTGGCTTCCTTTGTGCCTGTAAGCTTTTTCTGCTGTCTTTCCACTTCTAGCGGATTCTGAAGCTCAATAGCATGAGAGCGGTTCCCTTTCCTCCTTAGCTTAGCCGCTGGAATTTGAAGCCCCCTGTGAAACCACAAGTAATTTATTGAGATCAAAGGAGGCAAGAGATGGGAAAGCAGGAAGAAACTCTAGGATTACCAGGGGGAGGGTGGGAAGAGAGAGCGAGAGAAACCATTTCAGTCGAGAGACGTGTGTTCTCTTTCGCTCTGTGACACTGGGCACAAATCATCTGGAAGAGACATTCATTCTGCCCCAAAGAGGTTTTTTTTCTCTCTCTCCTCTCTTTCTTCTTTTCTCTCACCCTGGCCTGGTTCACAGTTCCAAGTCCCAGATTTGTGCTGTCCGGGTCACATCTCTGCTGGCAGAGTTGCTTATTGCTCCAGCTGTTTCTACTTGGTAGAACACCAGTGGCATCTAGCGGTCATATTGCCAGTTTTTCTGTATCAGCCTCTGTTGTTCCGTAATAGAGGAACGCTGGAGAGCTCACGCTCCGAGAGAGGTCAAGCTGCCAGGGACCGAGATTACTCATCTGTTTGTTTTAAAAAGACAACAAACGACAAAAACAGCTGAGAAAATGAACTTTAAACAAGAAAAATGGCTAGTTCTGTTGAAACCATTCCTTCTCCTCCTCTCCTTTGGCCCGTTCCCTCCCTCCCCCCGTCCTTGTTCTACTCTACAAGACGGTTCAGTCCCTGCATAATAAGTTTGCAGCATTCCTCTTTTTCTCGTTAGTGTTTGGACCTTTTGGTAGGGAGGAAATCAGCCTCAAGGCAGGAGCTCTCAGTGGAAGGAGGACACCAACGCAGAGCAGGCAACCAATGGAGGCCGTAGGAAGGAGGCCGTTACTTTAACCTTTCCATTGCTTTGAGCTGCTGTAATTGTCAGAAGAGGCAAGTGGACATCAAGAACGTGGGAGAGGCATAACACTTGGAATACACTGATCTCGTCTCATTTCATATGCTAAGCAGGATCTAGCCTGGTTAGAACTTGGAGGAGAGACTGCCAATGAATACCAGAGATTTACAGGTAGGGCTAGCAATTCGGTCCAGAGTCTCGGAGAGCTACCACTGACTGTTGGGACTGGCAGTAGCAGACTAGATGGACCAATGCTCTGATTCTGTATAAAGCAGCTTCCTGGGGTCTTAAAGCCATGCTGGATGAGACCAAATTCATTTTTGCCTTGGGTTTGATGGAGCAGGCAGATCAAACCTGCGGTGGAGATGCTGGAGAAGAAGTGCTTGGAGATCCATGGAAGCCTTTTAGGAATTCATTAGTTTGCTTATCTTGATGTGATTGCAGTTCTCTAGCAGCACGTTAAATGATAGGCTCTCTGTACAGTTAGGGAATTATTGATGTTAAAGAAATAATACTCTTGTCTGTATTTTCCAGTCACTAGAGTCCCTTTAGAGCACTACTGGTTGATTACAAGGTGATCATTATCCTGAGGTGGAGAGGATAGTCATTGCTTATTAGAGACAATAAAAGAGGTGATCAAATCAGGATCTATTCAGGCAGTTCTCCATCCTCAAAAGCAGGGGTGGGGAGAATCAGGGGCTTGGGCCCCAAATATGTGTCTCCAGCCTCAGCTGCTGGCTGCAGGGAGCCCCCTAATGCCTTGTTTTGGCCATTAAAAGAAAGTACCTGGATTGCACCTCTGGTTTTGTTTTAGGGGACTGTAGGGAACCCCTCCCAAAAACCTGCGTCTCCTCGAGACTTTCAGGTGCAGAAATTGATAATAAAAAAAACACTTTAAAAAGATTTTACGGTCCCTGGGAACTGTCGAAATGCTTGTAGCCGCATATTTGGCTTGTCCATGCTGTAGAGTCAGACAGCCTTGTTCACCTGGAGGGCCAGATTCACTTTGAGAATTCTCAGGGGAGGGGGGTTATTTCAGACATGGGGGTGGGGAGCCAGAGAGAAAGGGGACAACAAAGAGAGCAGTCTATCTTTGTAGCCGCATATTTGGCTTGTCCATGCTGTAAAGTCAGACATCCTCGTTCACCTGGAGGACCAGATTCACTCTGAGAATTCTCGGGGGGGGGGGTTATTTCAGACATGGGGGTGGGGAGCCAGAGAGAAAGGGGACAACAAAGAGAGCAGTCTATCTTTGTGTTAAGTTCTCGCTGCCGATGTCTAAGCCTGAAGAGAAGCACTTCAACCTTGTAGAAGAGGGAAAGGTTGGAAGATCAAACAGGGGTGTTAAGTTCTCGCTGCCGATGTCTAAGCATGAAGAGAAGCACTTGTAGCACCTTGTAGAAGAGGGAAAGGCTGGAAGATCAAACAGGGATATCTGTGAAGATTCTCTGTCATCCAGGTGAGGTTATCTGGAAGTTGAGTCATGGCAACCGGACTTCTTCCTGATTAGGTTGAAGTGTTTCGCTGTTCATCCAAGTAGCTTCTCCTGATATATCCTCCCTGTTGGTTTCACTCCCCCCTCATCTGAATAGGCTATTCAGACCAGGGGGAAGTGAAACCAACAGGAAGGATATATCAGGGATCTACCAACTCTCCTCAGACTGAAGAAGCTACTTGGATGAGTAGCTAAACGTTTCAACTAGAGACGGGGGTATTTGTATCTGAATATCCCCACACAGGTGGCCTTAATGAGGATCAAGCTCCATGGATGTGGACAGCGCGAGTCTACCAATGGCTCCACGGTGCGCGATTTGCTCGCCACTCCTGGCAGGCGGGAGGACAAGCCTCGCTGCAAGGCTGAAGAGTGTCGAGCGGATCACGTGCTGCGGAGCCATTGGTAGAATCGCACCGTCCACATCCACGGTGGATCGGTGAGTGGACCAGCCGGCCCCATGGAGCTTGACCCTCGTTAACACCACTTGTGCGATCGTCTAGTCATTAAGTCGTGTCCGACTCTTTGTGACCCCATGGACCTGAGCACGCCAGGTCCTCCTGTCTCCCACTGCCTCTCCGAGTTGGGTCAAATTCATGTTGGTTGCTTCACAAACACTGTCCAACCATCTCGTCCTCTGTCGTCCCCTTCTCCTCTTGCCTTCACACTTTCCCAACATCAGGGTCTTTTCCAGGGAGTCTTCTCTTCTCAAGAGATGGCCAAAGTATTGGAGCCTCAGCTTCAGGATCTGTCCCCCATTTCTAGTTTCAGCCTAATAAGAGGTCCAGTTGCCTCAGCTTTCATCAAACAGAGATAGTATCATAGAGAAGAGGGAGTGGCCTCTGGAGATGCCCAGAGAGGGATACCCTAGAAAGGTCAGATTCAGCTGAAAGGCGTGAACTTTCCCACCCCACCCTAGAATTTTTAAAGACTAAAACAGGAAATAAGTGAACACTAATGATGAGAGTTTGATGTAGAGGGATTCAGACCCAACCTTTTTTCCCCCAAGCATATCACAAGTGAATCCAAGACCCTTCTGGAGTTTGGGCACAGTTCAAAACAGGCCAGCCTGTGCCCCACAGTTTTATTTTATTTATTTTATTTGATTGGACGTCTGCCCTGCCCATCTAGACCAAAGGTCTACTCTACACAAAGCAGCAAGCTATCCCTGGCATGTCCTGACGCCAGAACAAAAGTGCAGGGTGCGCAAGAAGGGGCTGCATGAATCAACGGCTTCAAGCAGCAGTGAGATACAGCAGGAAATAAAATCCCCAGGCTTCCTAGTAGCAATGTGAAGTCCATGATTCCCCTACTTACAAGGTAAATAATGTGTAGTTCCCAATTTCCCTGAGATGATGCATGGACATTGAGTAATAATAGCCCTGCCATCTCATGACTGATCAAACAGTGCTGGGACTTGACTTCCATTTTTTTCCCTCTGAATCTGCATTTAACAGTGAGGCAGGCTGATGTTAAGGCTGACCCACCTTCCAGTTCATCGGGTCTGTTCGCAGGGGAAGGATGTGTTTTGTTGTTCTTCTAAGAGTCAATGACAACTGGATGGTTCTTGCTCTTTTGCCTGTATCCTAGCCTCTTCGTGACGAGTAATGTTGTTAGTTCTTTTCTGTAAGTCTGAAACTCTCTTCATGATGAGAAACGCAGTTGGGTGTCTTATTGAAACTGCTGTGATTTCTCTGCTTTCCCCCCTTCTCTCTCCCTTCGCCATCCCTCATTGCCTCCTTTCCTGTCATGTCTGTTTAGTTTTCTCACAGCAAACAAAATGTCTTCAGTCCATTTGGAGTTTCCAGGAAGACTGCCAGGGTATAGTCTGCACCTCCATAAAAAGGAAAAGAAATGGGGGTTGGAGGGGGTGAGAGAAAGAGGCAAAGAGAGGAAACTTATTCCTTAAGCTTCTCGCATGCCCTTCTTTTCTGACTCTCCCTCTCAGACACGCTCATGATGTCTAGATATTTTGGTGGTGGTGAAGATGCTTTTGATGGATCGCACGGATGGAGCAAATAAGCTCAGACTTCCTGTAAAGCCCCCATTGCTTGCCGTCTGCCTCCCATCTATTTTTTCCCCTTCCTTTCGGAGTGATAAATAAGAGACATGTGTTGCAATGCTGAATGTTTTTTCCTAGCAAACTGGGATGACTACAGACTAAGAGCAGAACAGAGCCCAAATATGGGTTTTCTTCTGTTCCTCTAAAAACTAAACATATCCCTCCGAGATGCTTTATAAGCCAGAACAACTCTTTCTTCCTTGCTTGCATGTTAACAGTAACTTCAATCTCTCTCTCTCTCTCCCTCTTGCTCTCCCGAACCCAGTTCCTCTACAAGTGATCTTTCGAGCTATGAGCATGACTATTTAAGAAGAAGCCCTGACCAGTACAGCTCCAGGGGGAGCATGGAGAGCTTGGACCATACCCCGGCGGGGTACTCCCATCACTCCTGCCACCTTTCACCTGCCAAGTCCACCAACAGCATCGACCAGCTGGCCCATCTCCACAGCAAGAGAGATTCGGCCTATAGCTCCTTCTCCACCAACTCCAGCATCCCTGAATATCCAGCCCCTGCTTTCTACAAGGAACGCTCCTACTCCATGGAGAACGTGCATTCCCGGGGGAGACCGCAGGAAGGGGGAATGCGGCAGGCCGATATCAGGTACATTAAGACTGTGTACAATGCTCAGCGAGGGGTTTCCGAGGAATATGAGGTGAAGTCCTCCGCTCTTTTGCCAAACTCTGAGGCCCAAGCGAAAAGTTACAGTTCAGGCAGACCGCACGGCTACAGCAAAGGCCGACCAACCCGGAGTTCGTCTGACAGCGAGGGCCAGTATATGAAGGGGCCTCCTATGCCACCGACCCGTAGTGATAGTTACGCAGCAATAAGGCACCACGAGAGGCCCAGCTCCTGGTCTAGCCACGAGCACAGGAAGCCGTGTAGGACTCACCCCAAAAGTGCTTGGACTCACGTGGGCCAAGGGACTCCTCCTCCGCCAGGGCATCTCCAGAAAGCTGGGTTTCTTGAAGGACAGCTCCACACGGTGATGGAGAAGAGCCCAGAGAGCAGTCCCACGATAAAGCCCAAACAGGTCTACGGGCAGGCTGCTCAGCCAGGCCAGCCTTTGCTTCCTACTGGCGTCTACCCTGTACCTTCCCCTGAGCCACATTTTGCCCAGGTTCCTCATCCTTCTGCCAGCCATAGTGGGATAGTTTATCCAGCACTTGCCAAAGAGAGCGGGTACGCGCCACCTTCTGCATCATCTCCAGCTCCCTACGAAAAAGGTGCTGTCTGCAGACCACCTTCTGGCTTGGATGAGAATGGAAACCAAAGCGTTCCGAACAAGGCTGCCATCTTCTACCAGCCTGAGTATATGTCCACCGTGGCAGAGAAGAAGGAGGCAGATGACACGGCTGCAAAATTTGTCTTGTACAGAACTCATCCTCAAGCCTATGCAATATCTCCACCTCAGGATGAGTCAGAGCCTCCATACGCGCCGACTCAAGCAATCCAGGAAACTGCAAGAAATTCACAGCACTCAGCCCATGGTGCTCAGCCATGGATGTCTCCGTTAGGGGACATGAATGACAGCAAAGCCAACTTCCACTCCAAGGACTATGGTTCAGGAGAACAGCAAGAAGACAAGAATACCAGTCTGCAGAGAGAGGACAGAAACCCCACATCCCAGCACCCATGGGGTTCCAGGAAAGCCAAACAATATGGCTTTTCCTCTTTACAAAACATCTCTGAGAGCACCAAGTTGCCCAATAGTAGGAATGGGGATGAAATGGAACCAGATAAGAGCTACTCTGCTACCAAATGGCATTTTGTGAATTACAGCAGCCGAGAAGAGAAGGATTGTCGAGGGCAGATCCCTGAGCCGTGGCATGACCAACAATGGCAAACCTGGGAAGGACACCCAAATGCCAGTGGCATCACGGAGAATTCCCAAGGTCTGGAACCGAAATACGAGGAACCTCCTCCTTCATTGCTCCCCGAGACGTCGGAGTTTAGCGTTCGGCGGCTTAGTTCTAGCAGCACCCAAAGCATTCATGGGAAGATGGACTCCAGGAAGCCTCGATGTTCTGTGCTGGACAAAGTTAGCAAGATAGAGCAGCGTGAGCAAGGAAGCCAGAGGCCACAGAGTCTGAGTGCAAACTCTTTGGGGCAGAATTATGGCTCAAACAAACCCACCTTCAACAGCGTTGAGGTTGGCCGAAACAGACGCAACTCACAAGAGCATGGCCAGTTTCAAGGTGAACGTGGGGTCAGGCTGGCCAGGCCACATAGCTCGGAGCTGACCCCATATATGCAGCGTCCCAGCGAAAGAGGGGCTGTCAGACCAGAACGAGCGAATTGGCATTCTGCAGACCAGCAGATGGTGGCAACAGGAGGGCCAGGACAGGAGAACATCTACCATGGTGGGCTCTCTGAGAATGAGTTGCAGAAGCAAGCTGGTCAGCTGCAACGGAGCAGAAGTACATTCCAGTTGCTGGAGGAGCCCGAGAAGGAAACCCTATGGAAGGGTCACGCCCAGGACTTGAATGGCTCACCGTTGGATGTCCCCTTTAACAGCGCTTACAGGAACAGCATTAAAGATGCCCAGTCAAGAGTTTTGAGGGCCACCTCCTTCAGGCGCAAGGACCTCCACGTTATTTCACCTGTCGGAAAGGAGCCCAAAAGAAGCGTGCAGAGGCCAGCCTCGGCCCATGTTGGGATAAGAAGCACGGCAACATCCCCACATACCCCGAAGGAGAGGCACAGCATCACACCCACAGAGGCAAAACTGGATTATACCAAGAAAGAGAGTCATCCGCACGTCGCCCGCATTGGCGGGAGGAAGCGCCTGACCGCCGAACAGAAGAAACGGTCTTATTCTGAGCCAGAAAAGATGAACGAAGTGGGCATGTCCGACGCGGAGCTCTCTCCCTTCTCCCTTCATAAGAAAGTCCTCCAGTTTGTTTTCCCAGAAAACACGGTGGCCGACCGACGCAAAATCTTCGAGCGAGAGAACAAGGCTTGCTCTACCATCAACCTGTCAAAGCCGGAGCTGAAGCAGCTGCAGCAGAATGCGCTGGCAGATTACATTGAACGCAAAACGGGGAAGCGCCCGTCATCGGCATCCCAGGAGATCAGCCTCGTGCACGAGGGCTCTCAGACCCCAAGCCTGCAGGCAGGTGGCCAAGAGGGCCATTCTCTCTCATCGTCTTCCAGCATGAATTCTCTTCAAGACCACAGTCTGTACCATCGCAGGGAGTCCCTAGAACGGGTCTCTAGAAAAGGACGCGGCGTTGCTACTCTCCCTCCTGGCCTTACAAGCTGCTTCGACCTTAGTGGCTTTGAGAACAAGAAAGCAGCCCATCCAAATAGCAACGGTAGCCGTCCCTTTCCCAACTGGCTGAAGACAGACCGACTTCATGAACACAAAGCCAATCCGGAGCTTAATAAAAGCACTCAGACAGATCTTGACATCTGCACTCAGCCACCGCATAATCATCAACAATCCCAGGGGAAGAAGCCAGGACGCACCAAAAAGCCCGGAAAATCAGCCTCTGCCGAGGACCTGCTGGACAGATCAGAAAACCGGGCAGTCAGTGTGCATATCCGTTCCAGATCATCTCCCACAGCAGATAAGAAGTGCCAGGTATGTACAGGGTGTGGGGCCCTTTTGATGACATCCTTATGGTCTATTCTTCATTTCTTGGTAACGCCGTTATTTGGAGACTATTCCTGAGTACAGATGTAATTATACCATGCTTCCCTGAAAATAAGACAGGGTGTTATATTCATTTTTGCTCCAAAAACACATTAGGGCTTATTTTCAGGGGATGTTTAATTTTTTTTTCATGTACAACAATCTACATTTATTCAAAGACAGTCACGTCATCTTCTGGTTGCTGCACGAGGGTGGAGGGCAGGGTTTCACTTCACTAGGGGCTTATTTTAGGGGTAGGGCTTATATGACAAGCATCCTGAAAAATCGTACTAGGGCTTATTTTCATGTTAGGTCTTATTTTCGGGGAAACAGGGTAAGAGTTATAATGACCTGAGAAAACTATTGGAGAGAGAGGCTTTTCTATATGCTAAAAAATTCACACATTCGTATGGAGCGTTCTCGTCGTTCCTGTCCCACCTCACCCTTAAGACTGAAAGACTTCGAAGATCTATCAGTCGTGGCTTTAATAAGCTTGCTCCTCAGTGAACATTAACTAGCGCAGGCCCTTGATGGCTTGTGCAAAGTTTCCCTGATGAAGCATCATAGGGGTTTTTTTTTCCACTGTTATACTTTTTCTGCCTGGGAGTTCTGGGTTGTATCCAACGTCATTGCTTACGTTTATTGGAAGAGCAGTTTTTGATGGCTGCAGTGCATACAGTACTTTACACTTTCGGCACAAACTGATGAGGAAGCTTCAGCGGAGAGACTGGGCTTGGGTGATTCTGTGCATTTCATATCTAAGATTAGAGGCCATGTCAGCTGGGGAATTCTGGGAACTATAGTATACAACTATACCTGCATGTACCACTCTGGCTGTCAAACTGTCTTATTGGTAAGAGAGAATAGAACAACAGCTGGATTTGTTCAAAATCCTCTTGTCAGCTGTGCATCCAGCTGCTGTCTGTTTTTGTAAAGCACAATTTTGGAAGCATATGTCTCTCTGTCTCTCTGTCTCTCTCTTTCTTTCTCTCTCTCTCTCTCTATCTGTCTGTCTGTCTGTCTGTCTGTCTGTCTGTCTGTCTGTCTGTCTGTCTGTCTGTCTGTCTGTCTGTCTGTCTGTCTGTCTGTCTGTCTGTCTGTCTGTCTGTCTGTCTGTCTGTCTGTCTGTCTGTCTGTCTGTCTGTCTGTCTGTCTGTCTGTCTGTCTGTCTGTCTGTCTGTCTTCCTCTTGGTGGACCCAGTTAGGAGGTCTGTTGTGCTCCCCACCCATCCCCACCCCATTTGACTACTTGCCTTGGGTGCATTAGATGTTAGGCTACCATCCGGGAAGAAGCCACAAAACCTATCATTTGAGACCAGAACGGAAGGGGTGACCTATGTGCTGGGGCTGGGGGAGGAGAGCACATTGCTCTAGGATTTTTTGCTTTAGTCACAAGCTGCCCTTGCATGTCAGAATAAATAACAGTAGACAGCTGAGGAGCCCAAATGTGCAAGGACTTTCCTGGATCTATTCAGTAGACCACTAGGTCTCTTGCACATCCCTGGTATGGAGGTAAATGGTTTGGTTTGCTTCTTTGTCCTCCATTGTCTGGGTGGAGTCTGTGATAATCATTGGATCATGAAGTTGGAAGGGGCCTATAAGGTTATTGAGTCCGCCCCCCCTGCTCAGTGCAGGAATACAAATTGAAGGATATCTGCCAGGTGGCCATCTAAATTTCTCTTGAATGCCTCCAGTCTTGGAGGGCTCACCACCTCTCAAGGTAATTGGTTCCATTGCCATACGGCTCTAACAATTAGGACCTTTTCCCTCATACTCAACCGAAATCTGGCTTCCTGTAACTTGAGCCCATTGTTGCATGCCCTCCACTCACGAGGGATTGAGAACAGATGCTGCCCCTCCTCCGTATGGCAGCCTTTCAAGTCTTTGAAAACGGCTATCATGCCTTATGTTTTCATCTTGCGTTTCAGAAATCTTCTTGATTTGCTCGCAGAAGTCATGTTGATGATGAGAGACACAGTTCCATTCTAGTATTTGCTTCCTTTTGGGGACATGCAGTATACAGTGTCTGCCTTTTAGATTTGCTAGCATAAAAAGTATGTAACGTTTTAATCGTAGAAAGGTTGGGTAGAACAGTGGTTCCCAAATGTGAGTCTTCAGATGTTCTTGGACTTCTATTACCAGAAATCCTGGTCAACACAGCTATCAGGGAAGACTTCTGGGAGTTTTAGACCAAGAACATCTGGAGAGCCAGGGTTGGGAACCATTGGGATAAAGAACCTTCTTCATCCATTGAGAATCAGAGCCCATTGTAGTAAATATTAATTCCATCTTGGGCACTATCCTGTTTTTTTCTGAACCACAGTGACTCTTGGCAAACTAATAGCAAGGACATCTTCACATGGAGTTTTCCTTGGGGTACCTCAGTCTGTTTTGCTGCCTCAGACGAGAAACACGGTGCCCCCACCCCCACCCCACTCCACATTGCCACTGTGCTGCCTGGCTGTAAAAGGGAAAACACTCCCCAGTAGATATATATATTGCAGGCAGCAGAATCTCCATACGGTTAGCCACCTGCATGATATCAGAGAAAGAAGGGAGGTTCTGCCATGCACCTAGAGAAGAATATGTGGCAAATAGTTCTTGTTAGAGCTGGCTCCCCACCCACCCCCACCCCCAGGTCATGGAGCCAAGAGAAATGCGCAGGTGATGTCTGGAGAAATCATCTGAATGTAGAAGTGTACAGGGTTGTGCTTTCGGACTACAGTTCCCGGGGTTCTGAAAATCGTATTCCAAAATTGCAAACCTGGACACCTCCTCTACCTGAAACTGTGGTGCAGGCCATCTCTCTGAACGTTCCTCCCCCATAGGCCTTGACAGGAAGAGGACGGTGCTTCTACCTTCTTCTACAGTATGTGCAAAAGCATGCACACACATCATCGGAGAAAGAACCACACAGGGGGCGGCGTGGCTCTTTGAAGTCAAGGAGCCAATGAAGAATATGAGGAGGGGAGACTGTCCAGAAAAACCACTTGGGTCATACTTTCAAACAATTCACCTGGACATGCCCTGCCCCGACCAGAAGAGGACTTCTAGGAGCCAGGCTTGACCAGAAAAGGCCACCCTTAAAAGAAGACCAGTTTACATGTTGCTATCTGGCTCTCCTCTCTTCTGTGTTAGATGTGCAGGGAAGTGTATAGAAGGACTACCACCTCGGGTGGGTAGATTCCTCCCTCTCCACAGCTGAGTTACATGGTGGGGCAGCTCTTAACAAAGCAGCAAAAGGGAGCCATGCACTTGCTCCCCCCCCCTGCCCCCCGTGATCCACTCATACCTGAGAGGGTTGCCTCAGCGTATCACATGGTAGGGCTGGCCCTGGTTTTGATCAGATTATATATCAACCACAGTGCAGAGCTGGATGAGCATCGTAGTGAAATACAGATGTCTTCCCTCACCCTCTTTTAGTTTTGTGCTGAAAACAGTTCTGAAACAGCTGCTCTGCGGACAGAATTCCCTTGAGGAGTCTCACCTTTTGCTGTTCTGCAGAAATTGGTCAGTTTAAAAACTGCTGTGGTGGGATATGGAAAAGATACAAGATTTAAGCTCCTAATGAGACTTTGCACATCCAGGGTGGTAGTGAATATTATAGAAAGTGTCCAGTTTTTGCCACTTCTGGCCTCTGTTGTGCGTTCATACCCAGTGGTTAATAAGTGCTTGAACAGAAGACTGCTGCATACTGTGTTAGGAGTAGACATGGGCTATTTGTATCTGTATCTGCAAGGAAACAAATATGACCTGCTGTACCACACATGCTGTGGGGGGGACAGTTCCCTCCCCTAGAACCAGCCAAGGGACATGGTGGCGCTGCGAGTTAAACCGCTGAAGCCTCTGTGCTGCAAGGTCAGAAGACCAAGCAGTCGTAAGATTGACTCCATGCGACGGAGTGAGCTCCCGTCGCTTGTCCCAGCTTCGGCCAACCTAGCCGTTCAAAAGCATGTAAAAACGCAAGTAGATAAATAGGTACCACCTCGGTGGGAAGATAAACAGCATCCCGTGTCTAGTCACGCTGGCCATGTGACCACAGAAACTGTCTACAGACAAACGCTAGCTCTATGGGTTGGAAACGGAGATGAGCACCTCGGCCTAGAGTTGGACACGACTGGACAAATTTTCAAGGGGAACTTTTACCTTTAGAACCAGCCAGCCTATTCAGCAAGCTCTGGTGGTGCTGGGGTCTTTTGTCATCTTTCTCGTGGCTGGCATTTCCTTGCCTCCCCACGCAGCCCACCACTGATCAGTTGAGTGGGGAGACTCCTTGTCCCACCTCCTCACTGAAATGGTCAGCTGCACTGGGAGGTGGGGAAAGCCGGCCAGGCTCCTGGTGCGACGATGACAGCGAAGGATCCCAGTGTTGTGTGGAGCCCAGTGAGCGAAACGGCCGGTTCTGGGGGAGGAAATTGACCCCCCACACACAGCACCTGTAGTGCCGCAAACCATATTCGTATCCCTGGAGATATGAATACAGATAACCCATGTCTAATTGGGAATCAGCCTAGATGCACAGAGTCAGCCCTAGATCCAGCCCCCACCATCTCTGTGATTACTGTGGGATTCTGGGAGTTGTGGGCCAGAAAAAAAATAACTTTACTGAACTCTACTGGAAGGGGACAACAGTTTCCTCCATGCACCTGACAGTTAATTGCACTAAAGCTGTGCTCGTAATGGAAATATTTCCCTTCAAACACAGGCATAATTTCCCGTGGAGGACAGCAGGAAGAGGAGGTGAGGACAGAGAAAGGATAGCAGATAACAGCAAAATTTCCTTTTAAGGAGAGGGTGGGGGAGCCTGCAAAAGCTTTATTTCTGTTTCAGCAGCAGACTTTATACCAGCATTTGGCTCGCTATATATTTTAAAAGCTTTGCTTCGGGTATATACTGTTCCTTGCAAAATGACTATAAATTACACAGCAATGTCAGTGGAAGAGTTTGTTTAAAGATCTGAGGAAATTGATAGTTGTGAGGCATTGCTAACCCATCGGGTCTTCAACCACACATTCTCCATCTTCTGTGTCTCCTCTTTTAGCTTGCTTTAGCCTGCTTGCCTCATAGGTCTCTGGTTTATACATTTGGGTGATAACTCCAGCAGTGCCCCCTCCCCGTTTGACCTCCTTCGCATCTGACAATGAACAAGAAAAAAAATAAAGGCTTGAAGTTGGTCCCTTCCAACGTTGCAGTCCTAAGGTTATAAGTATCTCTGCCTTTGGCCACTGAGTCTGTGGTCCCACCAGCGAAATGTCTTCCTGTGGTTATGTGATTTTTAATCACGTCCCTGTCGTGTGTGTCCCAATGTGTTTTTGGGTTACCGAGCCATTTCTTTTCAATACAGTAAGTGCCTAGAGCTTCTTGTTGACACCGTTTAACAGATGTTAACTGACGCATCGACACAAACGCCATAGAAAAATAAAAATAAGAAGTAAAAACATTTTTAAAAGACATGCACGGTGACAGTCGTTCAAAAAAAGTTGCAGTAAGATTATTCAAACACACAACAATGCAACTCTTTTTTAAAAAAAGATCTGTAACTAAAATGTAAAAGCCTCCAGCCGAGTGAGAAAAAGATCTGCAGTTAGCACGCATCCTGGGTAAATGATTCACTAATGCCTGTGCATCATGTGACCGCAAATTGAAATTGCGAAATCAAAGGGGAAGAACTGGAAAACATTTTGTTGGCATGACGGCCTGAGACTCCCTCCCTGCACCCCCAAGTGAATGGATGTCTTTCTGTTTGTGGTGGAGTGATGTTTGATGTTTTCAAATAAAAATATAACAATTAGAGATGGGGGGATTCGCATACGAATATGAATATCCCCTCACAGGTGGCGTTAACGAGGGTCCAGCCCCATGGGGCCGGACGGTCCACTCACTCACTGATCCGACGCAGATGGCGCGATTCTCCCAATGGCTCCGCAGCGTGCGATCTGCTCGCCACTCTTCGACGTTACAGCGAGGCTCGTCCGCCCGTCTCCTGCCAGGAGTGGCGAGTGGATCGCGCGCTGCTGAGGCATCGGTAGAATCGCACCGTCCCCATCCACGGAGGATCGGTGAGTGGACCATCCGGCCCCATGGGGCTGGACCCTCATTAA